TTTACGGTAAGATTTTCATGTAGAAATTAGTTGAGCATTATTGCGGAATTAAGGGATTTATTGTTACTACGGTAACACTACGTAATACGTAAAAAAATCTGATTATCGCGGTTTATTAATACAGTTGAAATATCTTACTACAAAAGAAAATTATAGGAGCGTCGGGTGGTGTATTTCCAAATATACAAATAATTCAGTGTACTCAAATACACCTACTATACTTCCCTTACTTTTGTTCTCGACTACTACGAAGTTATTCCTCGGATCATATGTGTGTTCATATTTGTTCGGATTAAGCAGATTCATATACTGGGATGGACTGTCAGTGAACTTACCCATCGTTTTACGCATATTGTTTCGAGACTTAGCCATAATACCTATATACACACATTTATTTGATTCAAATTTGGGTGAGGCATGCAACGTAATACGTAAAAATAGATAATCTAGATCGCGCTTTATATGTCGATTAATAAACTTACTTACCTTAAGTTCAGATGCATTAATGTAAAGCTCGAAAATTAACTTTATCTTTTACTTTACGCTTTCGAATAGGGCGTTTTCTTACTGCTTCAGTATTATGCATATGTATAACTTCTATTTCCGAACTAGATGTGGAAGAATTACCTGAATCGTTATCTGAAGTATCCAAATCAGAAGTTGCAGAGATATTTGATCTGTGATGCAGTGAAGAGATAGAGTCTTGAGTCTTCAACTCATCTTTCAATTTCCCAGGAAGTATTTTGTAAAAATCATGAATATAGCAGACCCCTACACACCCTAGCTGTCCTATCTGTTCTACAATCATCGAAGTTATTAGAGAGGAAGCCACTCTTGCGTCCGACAAATATCAGATGATGCCAAAGATTCGTTCCCTTATCGACTCTGAGAAAAAAGCGTCCCAGCAAAGCAATGATACTATAGATGATGATGATGTGGAATTGGAGTATACGAGGGAACCTGGAGAAAGCACGACAAATACAGAACGAAAGAAACAGTTCGCAGAAAAATCCACCGATACTCAGGAGCGGGGCACCAGTCGATGATGATAATTATGAGCAGACATCCTCAAAAGACACCGACGAAGGGGATATTGTACAAAGTTTGTTGGGGGAGTTGTCCACGCCTATTAAAGGTGAAACCGTCGAAGCTATGATTGATGAAGACGAAAATAACAAGAATTCAGCGCCAAAAAATCTGGGTGTTTTATATCAGAAAGCATGTCGTGCCGAAATGCGTGTGATGAAAGCAAATCAAGAAGAAGTCGCATGTTGGTATTATTATGGGAAAGGATTTGAGGGAAGAGTTGAGGATATATTAAAAAACGAGAGGGGGGTTAGAGATCAATCCGCACGAAATCGGGTTTATAACGAAATAGTGCAACATAGCCCGGGATATTTGAAAGATAATTTGCGGAAAAAAACTCACAGGGCCATAAAGATATACAAGTTATTTCACATCGGGGGCAAATAAAATTAAGCGAATTAACTCCTATGATGTCAACACAATTTCGAAACTTACAGTAACTCAAATCCAATTAATAGAACAGCATTTCTGTAAGGTGGGGAACGAAGAATCTGCTCACGTGTAAGACCGCGCGGTCTCACATGTGACTTTTAGCCGATTACTGCGGCATATATATCTCACAGAGGTTGATGTACCAATTAATGATTTAACAATGTAAAAAAATATATTAATAAATGTTACATGTGTCTTCGCTAGACACTGACATCCTGTCATTATTTTTGTTATATACTGTAAACCATTTATTGTTAATATGCGCTAATTAAATGATCCGATTTTTATTAGTAGCATCATCAGAAAATCAATAAAATCATTTTTATATGAAACATCATGTGAGCGTGTGGATTGAAAAGATTTCACCTGTCACAGGGCTTGTTTCACGTTTTTAGTGCAACCCAATTTTACATATATATACATATCCCGTTTTGATTTTTTTTATAATTTTTCGCTCATGAAATTCGCCTTTCCATTTCGATTGTGCAATAATAAACGAATTTTCTACTTGTATGTTTTACCATCATCACACGTCGGAAGAAAGGTAAGAAATAACTAGCCTCCAAATCTTTATTTGCAGTTTATTTAAATAATTACATTTTTTGCACATGACTCGATAATCAAATTAACGTTCGGAGATTCAATTTGCAACTATATAAAAAATCACATTTTACGGATGGTTAACTCGATAATCATTTTTTTCATGTCCGCACTCGCCAAATTTTTTTCAACTCTTAAGAATTCGCGAAATATAGTCAGAGACCTGTTTAGTAATCAGCCGAATTGCATCAATACTCAAGCATCTAAATTTACGAAAGATGATGTAGAAGCACTAAGAGTGAGGTTTTATCCAGCATCCGAAGATCACGTTATTCCTAACGAGAAAATCGAAGAATTTCCAGAACAATACGTTTGCCCCAAAATAAACAGAGACATGCTCAATAAAGAAGAATTCAATGTTGGAAAAATTAGCGATTTCCCGGATAATAAAGTCCGAACCTTCTTTTACAAACTGCATGACGTTACCAGAAACCTACCAGGAATACCCGAGTCTCGTACTGATGACTTGGTTGCTGATTTGCTTCGTACTCCCGGGTTGAATGATTGGCCCTTGAATATATCGTGAGTAATTTAAAAAAAATTCGTATCTTATTCAAATGTCTTCCTAAATTTTCTTTGTTTAAAATCAGACAATATCCACCAAGTATACTACATATTTTTAGAGAGCCTTATGTTTCGGCAAGACCCGAATTTGTGGTATCTAAAGAAACAATATCTATGGTTGTTGCAGAAGTATGTTTTTTTTTACTGTTTGGCAGGCAAATATCTCAGATTACTAAATATGATTTTGACAGGATAAAAGCTTACGAAACGTCGACTCTACAAATGATTTCGGAGAAATGCAAATTGCTGGTGAAATACTTGCCTGCGGAAGTGAAAACATGCGAAAGGTTGATAAGATTACTGATCAGGTTTTATTTTCTATTCGTTTTATCTCTACCTATGCTACGTTTTACAAGGCTGAGATTCCCGCTGAATATTGGAATGAACTTGCTAAAGGTTTGCCAATATATAGTTTAGTTGAAATCAAAAGATGGCCAGAGTTGAATAATAGGAAAAGTGGTCTTGATCTTGCAGAACCAGATCAAAGGAAAGCAGTGTTAATTGCATTAACCAAAATTCGTCAATTTCTTTTGAAATAGGTAAATCATTAATAATAGCGTGATGTGATTAGTTAGCTGTGCCTTGAGGCACTTTATATATTAATACGATTTATTACAACTAAGAAATTTCATGTATTATTTTTTATTGTATCATAAATATATAATCTTTTCTGATTGCCTGTCACATAAAATTTGATGAGCTGATTAATTCTGGGTCCTAAGGCTCCAAAGGACTTTAACTTGTTTCTTAGATCATTGGTTAATGGACTGAAGCAGTTGCAAGATAAAAAAAAACTCCTTCCTTCTGGATAATTTCTGAATTGTAAATTCATATAAATTCTAATTTTTCCTGATTTTTTTCTGAATGACAAATGAAGTTCAGTGCTATGATGCCAAAAGTGATAAAAATTTTATATTACACACACATATCCTGAGTTAATTTAAGAATCTTCCTACTTTAGCAAAAGTAATATGCATCACTGAACACAATTCATATTAGGGATATCACTTTTATTACTTGTGAGGAATCTATAGCACAAATAACAAACATGTATATTATCTTCAAAATAATCAGTTAGTATTCATTATAGATCCAATATCTTGCTGGAAAGAACTCAGCAGAGTTATTTTCAGAATATTGATAACATTAAAAATTCTGTATTAAAAGCCAATCATATATAATCAATAAAGATTATTGGTATAAATGACTGAAGTATTTTTCAGATAGATTTCAGTAGATATTATGCATGATTTTTTCAAAAATGTTGCTCCAGTAATGTTCCAGCACTGGACTGGCACATTGCTTAAATTAAATAATGATTTCAATATCTCTAATGATAACTGAAACAAATCAAAAAAATATATCATAAAAGTTTGAATATTTATTAGTTGATATACTTCAACATTCTAATATTTTTAAGATAGAGAAGTGAATAAACTGAATTATATTGTATTCAATCTCACTTTTGTCTGAAAATCTGAATAAAAAGTTAGTAAAAAATCTCATGTATTTGATTAGAAATTCTCTATTCTAACCTAATTAACTTTTATTTTTTTCAGGTATTTAAAAGAATAAACAAAGCTTGTTAATATATGCAAACTTTGTTTAAAAAAGATAATTATTTCTAATAAATTAAAGAAAATTAAAAGATTTTTTTTTTCAAGTTTGTAGTGCATTATAAAAAAGAATATTATCAAAGAGAATTCACTTAACTATCAGTAGCTTTGAGCTTTTTCTATTATCTTCTTCATATTATCAAATTCATTCAAATTACTAAACCAGTATAGACAATCTGACAATATCTGATAGAAAGACTTTGTGGAATATTGCTATCTCTTGTCCAGTCAAGATATAACAATTTATATTTTCTTGTATCATATCCATTATTTTTCATGTTATATTTATTATTTTTTGCATAATATATTAGAAATTAATACAGATCTACATTTAATATTTCTTAATATTTCATCAAATAGATTAGAAATAAAATATAGATTACATTATTAATTTAAATATACTTTGTTTTTAATTACTTTTCTTTTTATTTGTTTTTTTCTTTTTATTTATTATTTTTAAATTCATATTAATTATCTTTTATATTATTTATATTTTATATATATCTCATTAAGTATAGCATAACTTGAAAATACATTATCTTTAAGATTAATAATTTAGAACCAATCACTCTCTATTTTATTATTAATTTATTTGTAATTCATTTGATATTAATTATGTATCTGTTTTGTATTATAGCTCTTTAGAGCTTTTCACTATTTAATAAATCTTTATTAAAATTAAAACTGAAAACTATCTCAATTAACATAATTTATTTATAATAATTAATAAATTTATTTTAATATTTTATATATAAGAAAGTATTCTTATATAAGACAACATCTCTATATAAATTTAACTAATCAAATTACTATATTAAACCAATTTTCTTATCTTTGGAGATTAATGAATAAGTATTTTAACAATTCAAAGAAAAATACAAAGGAATCTGAGAAAATCAAAATTTTGGAATTAAAATGAAAATAAATTACTATTAATACTAAAACAAAAATATATATTTAGCAAATTGAAAAAATAGTTACTTAAATATTATTATATTATGATACAAGAAATAGCTAACTTAAGGAGATATTTTTTTATTTTTTGCCAATATTTAATCTAGTTCAAAAGTTTATTTATGAACTAATTACTATATACATTTACTGATACTAATATAATTCAGTATAATAATAATTTTAGAAGATTTCATCAGATATTTAAATTTATGGGAAGCTTCAAACTGTAAATAAAGAAATAATTAATTCACAATTTATTAGTCAAAAAGAAAATATATTTTATACTAATTACTGAATAGCAGTATATATATAAAATTAATTTTATTTTTAGGTAAATGCTAATAATTACTCCATTTTTTTTCAGGCAATATTATTAATTAATAAAAATATTCAAAACAAAAATACACAAATTAATTTAGATAAACAGAAATTTTATAGGAAAGTAAAATACTATTTTGTATATGAATAAAAATGAATAAACATTGTTAATTCTAATATAATAAATTAGTAATCAGTAGCTTTCAGTTATGATTCACTTATTTTTCATAATCTTGATTATTCTAAAATTATTAATATTAATACTATAACTAGATCTATCAATTTTTTTTCAATTATCAAAAATAGAAATTATATAATAGATTAAGAAGATCATATAATATATACTGATAAATAAAAGTAAAAATCTGTTTCTATTATTAGAGTAAAAATAATAAAGCTTTAATATACTTCTATTTTTTTAGTGAATAAAAAATGAAACTATATCAGATCATTTAAAAATTGTTTCAAAATGAATTTTTGCTAAAGTAAATCAGATTTCTTGTATAGATTCATTTTTTATCTGGAAAATGTTCTGAATAAAAAATGAATTAATATAAAAAACCAAATTTTAATCTGATATATTCAAAAAAATTTTTTTTACAGAGAATCAAAAAGTAGAACAAGATTTAATAAGTAAATTACTTGAATTTATTAGGCATAATAATACTATAATCTTATAAAATTTGTATTCTATATCTGTAAACAAATTTTTGGTATTTTATTTTATAATAATAATATAATGAGTAAGAAAAATTTAATTTTAAATAGCTTATTTTATCTAGTATATTTATTCAGCAAGGTAGAAAAAATTGAACAAAAAGAAAAATTATAATAATATTATTATAGTAAGAAATGTAAAAAAAGATTTCAACTCTTAATTAAAAAAATAATATTAGTAATTAAATAGCAAGAACACAAATTTATAATGAAATAATATTATATTTATCTGATATTAAAAGAGAGTATTTGCAGAAGATGATTTAAAAAAGCTAAAAATATCTATATATTATTTAAAGGAATAGGAATAAATAAAATATGATTAATAATATATAGTGTTGATACTATTTTTAAACTAACAGATACACAAATTTATAATATTATAAATATTTATATTAAAGAACACATCAAAAGATTTTTATACTATATAGAAGTTATTTTACTAATAGATATTGATGAATATATTTTAATTTATCCTTTGGTTGAATTTTGTCACTTTATTTTAATTTTATCTTTATTACTTCTTGTTATTAAAAGAGATATAAAAAAGAAAATATCTCATTAGTAAAGAAATTGATCAGTATAAATATTGTTTATGCATATATAATTTAATGAAAATTGTTAAATCTCAAATTTCTAACTCAAAAATAAAGATTTTATCAGAAGTTAAGATAAGTATATTATTTACATCAAAATTTATTATCAAAAAGATCCTATCTAAAAAAATAAAATAATTCAACTTATACTTGTACTTATTTTTATAACAAATTATTAGAATAATATTCCAATTTATATAAAAAATATAGTAATAAAAATGTTAATTATTATAGGATTAATATTGAATCATTATACTCAATATATAAGTTAAGTTATAAGAATAAAGAAGTATAAAGAATAAATATAAAGATAAATTTTACTATATTAAATATAAAACATCTAAAATTAGTACTATTATATCAAAATAATTGTATAAATTATCATTTTTCCAGTTCTAATATTAAAGTCAGATATATATATTTAGATATAATTATATTTTCACTTTGTAAAACAAAAAATTATATATATATTTTTTAACTTGAAAGAATAATGAATAATATCTAATATAAAAATTTAAATGAATGTAATCTTATAAAATAATAATATGAATATATTAAACTTGCAAACCAAGTTCAATAAAATCTTTACAAATCAGAATACTTTAATTCTTGAATATTTAAATTAGCAAGATAATTTAATTGGTATTTTGACTAATAAAATTCATTCCAAGTTATATAAAGATATAAGAAAAAAACTGAGCTTGATCTTTAGATAAAGTTTGAAAATTCAGAATTCTTACAAATTAAAGAATATAATTATACTTTACAAAATTATGTTATCAAGATTTCTAAGTTTCTGAAAGAAAAAAATATAATTCTTGATGTGATATATAAATATTTCTCTTTTTTATCTTATACTAATTTGAATATATGTTATTAAAATATATTTAAATATACCAATTCAAAAGTTAAATATCTGATATATAAAGAGTACATATATATTTAGATATATAGAATGATTAGAACTATTTAGATAAAAATAATTACTATTTTCTTAACTGTTCTTTTCATATCGTTAAAAAAAAGTTATAATTGTTATACAGAGCTACTGAAATTCAAGTAAGTATATCACATAAATTATTTTTTACGATTACATGCAATTGTTTTCTTGGAATCTATATTATATGTATTGTTTTAATATATAATTTATATTTCACAAATCTGATATAAAAATATATTTATTATTATTAAGTATATATATAAAAAACAATAAATTATATAATTAAATTATATGTAAATAGTTATATTCTGGCAAATTCTCGATAGACATTATTAAGATATTGATTAGAATTCTCTATTCATTATATTATCACATACTAATACTTATCATCTATTAATTTATATTTATTTTGTCACAATAAATTTACTACATAGTTATATAGTCTATAATTTAAAAGTTTTTTCTTAGATTCTGCTCACAATTTAGAACTTTTGGTATTTCAAAAGAGTCATTGTACTTTATAATTAATATAACTATAATCATCAAAATGATTTACCTTTTGAGAAGTTATGCCTGAAGAATTCTTATTATTGGAATAATTATTTGTCTTTAGAGAATTCCAAACTCAAGTAACTAATAATTCAGATCTATTCTTGTAATTTCTCTAAGCTCTTTGTATAATTCTTGTTTTCTAATATTAGTTTTCAGTTTATCACGTTTATTATTTCACTAATCATCAAATCACCAGGTTTAAGATAATTAACATATCTTTATCTAGAATAATGAAATATTTTCTTTGGCTGTACATCATCAATTTCCAGCAATCGAAACGAATAGCTATATGACTTTTATGAATTCTTGGTCTGTAATAATTGAAATTATTAAATTTACCTTTACCATATGACATAAATAAACAAAATCATATTTGAAAAATTGTGACTCTAAGGAATATTTGTAAGATACCAAAAAGATTAACTTTAGATAATGCAAAAGAAATTGTTAAGCAATGAGAAGAAGTGTGTCTTTCAGAAAAATACATTAATAGCTCTTTACCTATGCTATGGAAATGTTCTAAAAATCATGAATGAACTGCATCATTTAGTAGTATAAAACATCTGAATTCATGGTGTCCACGTTGTGCAAGTAATATTCGTCAAACACTTGAAATTGCTAAGATGATTGCAATCAATAAATGTGGAGAATGTATTTCAAATAAATATATTAATAATAGATCCTATTTGCGATGGAAATGTGCCAAGGGTCACGAATGGGATGCATCACTTGCCAATATAAAATATCAAAAGTCATAGTGTTCATATTGCTCAGGCCGGGCTAAAATACTCTCGATATTGCTAATATGATTGCATTCAATAAAGGCGGAGAGTGTATCTCAAATAAATATATAAATGTTTCATCTCATTTGCAATGGAAATGTGCTAAAGATCATGAATGGAGTGCAACACTTCAAAGTGTAAAAAATAGAAATTCATTGTGTCCTTTATGTATTGGACGTAATCGAACTATTGAGTATATGCAAATTTAGCACAGAAACGAAATGGGAAATGTCTTTCAGATAATTATAAAGATGCGCATTCTAAACTAATTTGGAAATGCTCTAAAGGACATATGCTAATATAAAGTATCATAATTCATGGTGCCCCTTTTGTCGATATTATCAATTTGAAAATTTATGCAGAGAAATTGTATCAAAATATCTTGGACCGCCATCTAAGATACGTCGACCTGATTTCTTAAAAACACAAGAATTTCCATATGGATTAGAATTAGATATTTATTACCCAGAATATGGCTTTGCAATCGAAGTACAGGGGCATCAACATGAAAAATATATCAAATTCTTTCATAGAGGGAACCCGAATAATTTCATCAAACAGCAAGCACGAGATCAACTCAAGAAAGAATTGTGCGAAGAAAATTGGATCGTTTGAAGGTATGTTTAGTATTACGAGGACCCATATATTGTTATTCCAGAACATCTTCGAGTAAACTCGAAACTTTAAATGTGCAATTAAAAATTATGTTCCTAAAATTTTATACTTTGCGCAATGCATGACAAAAGTAAATACTTTATTAAAAAAATAAAAAAAAATATTATATTACATTTGGATTGTTTTGTCACAAGAGTTAAATTACGGATGATTCGATTTTATTTTTTTCTGCCTTGGATTCTTTTCTTTCGAATTAGTCCTTTTTTTCTTAGGGGTGTTCTCACAATCAGCAAAAAATTGAATTGATGCAGGAGGCGGAGTAGAACATTGTTCGTTTAATTCTTTTAACAAATCATCATTGTTGTCGTCATCATTCAGAATATCCAGAACTTGTAGGTTATTCTTAATAATAATCTATTAAAATAATTAGTATATGAAAGAGAAGTAAACATCTTCAATAATCTATTTCATACCTTGTATTGATATATTCTTACTAGAAATTTAAGGAAGGATCTTAATCCTTTTTTGGAGAATTTGCTATGTATGTTGAAAGATTGGGGATCTTTGCGAAAAATGCAAATCGACCCTCCGGCACGCCATAATCTTACAAATTGAATCCATAATCCAAGGTGTAGGATACCAATTACTTGGAGTTTGTTTGCTCTTTGGTCGTCATAATTTACAGCTCTGATCAAATCGGAATACATACCTCGAAGAGTCTTTGGAATTTTGAACTCTTCATTGAGATATTTATTGTCTGAGACACCCTTAAAGGACCTTGCACCTTCTATGGCTCCAAATTCAAGAAGCTCATCAGTTGTATATATTATTCCGTCAATTTTACGGCCAACGAGCTTTCTTTTACGTGTATTTGCTTTTCGATTTCGATTCTTCCGGTTAACACTACTTGATGACGGTGCATCAATTCTGTATACAGTTATAAGCTATATTAAAAATACGAGTTGATGATGATTTATTGTTTATACTAGTGGAAAAATAGTTAACCTTTTAATATCAGTCCCCAATCGAATGTCCCAAAGGCAGAAGTCAATGCTCGTTCCAAGAAGTGTAACTGTAAACCAATGTTCGTATTGTGTTCTTATTAGAGGGGAAGCCATATTTTCATATAGATTTGCAAGTGTTCGAATGGCCAATTGAATCCATTCGTTATCGTAGTGTTTACGAATGTCGTATTTTTCTTCTTCAAGAAATGATTTCATCGTTATTGTGCGTAAATCTTTTATAATGTCGTGTGAAATAATCGGAACCCCAATTCGATCTTTGTTAATTCTTTCCATTCTGAATCGGTAAATTATGCCTTGATATTCTCATCATCAAAATCCACAATATATGAATGGGCATGGCTAATCAAATCATCGTCAGTATTGTGAATGGTAGATAAAAGAATTTAACTCTGAAAATCTTACTGTTCATAATCCATGTCTTTACAAAAATTAAAAAGAATATCCTCCACTATTTTTCCTGTGCTCAATTTCAACTTCGTGATGTCCGGGATAGCATCATGAGTCTTCCGAAAAGCCACCTTGTCGATTTTTGGAGGATCCTTCTTACTTATATCGTTCCTTATTTCCACTTGTAAACATGAATTTTGGGTAACACAAACTTACATTGCAATCCAAATCATCATTATCCTCAATTAATTCATCGGAAGTTGATTCGTCAGTGTCGCTTGTATTACAAAAGGAAATAAAATTGCAGTCTAAGAAAATTGAAGAATACCATTCAAAGGATAATCATGCAATACCTTGGTATATATTCCGAATCATTATCGTTAGGTGCCGAAAAGGAGTTCTGCAATTCAGATTCAACCTAAAAAGGAATACATCATTAACAATTGATTGCCATGAATAATAAAAATTCACTTTAATGTGAAGGCCATACTTTATCCTCCTCATGGTGTGTTTTGTTGGATTCGTTTCTTATTATTTCTGATTCTCGAAGTTTCTCGATAAATTTAGTTGACCTTTGATCAGAGGGATCTTGGAAAAAAGTGTCAACTGAATCCTACAGAAATACAAAGATCAATATCATGTTGATCAAAAAAATATTAGTAAATAACTCTACTGATTCTCAAAAAAATACATATCTGTACCTTTTTATTTAGACGCTCCTACAGACAGAAGGATTC